CCGTTATCATTCACCCAGAAGTGACTGGCACTGGGTGGGGTTTCTTTTGGCAAAGGGAAACTGCCCAGAAAGGATGGCCTCAACAGAGTCCCGGCAGCCTTGAGCCGCCATCCCTCATGAACATGTGCTATCTTCACACTGGCCCTAACAAACAAACCAAGCAACAAATCCATCAAACAAACAAACAAACAACCGAACAAACAACCAAACCAAAACAAAACAGAGCACACATACAAACAAGCAAGCACTGTTTTAATGTTTCATGTTAGTCTTTCCCAAGGGGTGTCTTTGACCCACGAGATATGGACCTGCCCGCTCCCAAGCTCGGGCCAGGCCACCCTGGGTGTGGATGCAATGACACGCCCGCAGAGCGACAGCGAAGGCATCGCTCGCGGCTCGTGCGCTCGCTCGCTCGATGTCGGCTCGGGATGGGTTCCAAAAGCTTCACCTGGACCCATACGGGGTTTGGATAAGAAACAACCGTGCGGGAAACAACCCTTTCTGTGACGGCCTGTTGAGATACACATGTCATGTGAGGCAAATATGGAATACAAACATACGATAAGCCTTCCCAAATGCTTGACACAAATAATGCAGCGTAAGAATGACATTGCCCTTCTAGTATGTATATATATATATACAGATATTGTCACATGGTATGGGCATGCACGAGCATCTATAAATACACACGTACATGTGCATATGAATAGGTTTGCACATGAATACGTACACATGTGGATAAATAGATAACTAAACAAATAGAAGTAAATCATCAAAATAATATCAAAATAAATGAATCAATAAATATGTAGATATTTATATAGATATATAGATATATATATATATATATATCCACATATTTATGCATGACCTGCCTGCACCAGGGCCAAATGCCGGGCCAAAAAAAGGCGAAGGCAAAAAAGGTGATTGGGCCAAGTGGGCCCTTCCGCGACGCGCCAATCTTTGAGCCCGAGGATGGTCACGTGGATTTCTGAGGTGGGGGTCTGCTTTCAGCAGGGTTTCTGTGAGACCCTGCCACCAAGTAACATGGAACCTGACGTTCGGGTTCGGGTGGTCCTAGTTTGGATCATGTTGCTTTTGAAGGACCATCTGCCTGTCAGGTTCCATGTTACTTGGTGGGAGGGTAAACCACCTGCTGCATCAGGATTTGCATTTGGGGGTGAGCTTTTAACTGACTCAATTTTCCTACCCTTCAGGGACCCTGAACAACCAATGGTGACATCCGAGCACGTGAACCTTGAAACCAGGTTTGTGGGAAATAAGCCTTTCTGTGACACTGTTTGGCGGTTGACTCGCATGACACCTGTCTCATTTGAAAGGTATCACTTTAAGCGGGATTCCATGCGTATCACAAAAGCTGGCTTGCAATCCAAGGCCAGTACAGTAGGTTGTGCCAGCACGTGCCCTGCGGGGATAGGAATCAGGGTTGGGCAAAACCTGTTTCACTCACCCAGACTCACCCCTGGCCTTAACAGGAAATCAGGAAAACATGTTTCAGAGTGTTCAGCGTCGGAAAAGTCGTTGTTTCTGCATATTCTAACGGGCCCAAGAACACAACCCTGGGAGGGCCACAACCCGAGGGTTAAACACGCCGGATGTTCGTTGACTTTCGCGCACGAAATGAACGCTTACTCCGGCGCTTCACCAGGCTCTTCGGCAGGCTCTTCGGCAGGCTCTTCTTGAGCACTCGCCGCTCGGCGGTCCTGAAGCAACTCGCCCGAAACCCACTGCCTTGCCTCCATTTGCATTTTCGCCCCCTGCAAATATATATATATATATATATATAAATTCAGTAGTGATAGATGTCCTTTCAAACCAACAGGGAACATAAAACATGCTACTAACCAAACGGAAGCTTGTTGGATCTAACGTTGCAACAAACAAAACAAGTTTTACTATAAACCCCGATTTAGCCACCGCCGAAATTGCCCGAGGGGGGCATCTGGCCATGCTGGTTCAAAAACTGAAGCAGGAAAGTGGGGGTTGACGGCCCTCGCATACTGCCGCATTCTTCTAAGAACCCACTGTTTGTTGTCACTGACCTAAGCAGAAATCCAAACTCCCCATTCTTACCTCAAAGAACATTCAGCCAGCATGCAAACCCCCTTTGTGAGGTCGGCCTCCGATGCATTTGGACACATGCGCAAGGAACGCTGTTCCAAACGCCATTTCTTCACCAATTTGGTTCGTCTCACAAACAAAAACAACAAGAGGGTGCCGGTGACTAAAGGACTACAACACTGATTCCCTCGAGAGTAATGTCGATTTCAATGGGGAGCCCCCTCTAGAAAGCAAATCAAAGTTAAGCCGCGTTTTACACCACTTGCCTGATTTACAACTTGTGGAATTTTACCCTTTGGGTGATGCCATTTGGTGGTTGATTCCCAGGACTAGGTTATGACTTTCAAGGGCCTTCCCTTGGCCACCTAGGAAGTGCCTTGAAGCCCAGTTCGCAAACAATGTTGGCTTTGCGGTTCAATTGGACAGTCAAGGCGCCGACAGTCCCTTCACTTCAAGTTCTTCTTGAGCAGGGGTCGCGTCAAAAGTTGCAACTTACTTTTGGAGGTCCAATAAAAAACAGGGGATGCCTGCTGAAACGGGTCAATTTTCCACACCAAACGCCCGTCCGTGACAATCTGCAGCAGCCGCAGCAAGCCATCTGCGCTGGCCCTGTCGCCTCCCACATTTGCCGCCAAACCACTACCCCAGAGGAAATCGGATGTGTACACTTTGAGCATATGTATAGAGGTATAGGTGTATATATATATATATGTCATATGTGTATATATATGTATATATATTATCACGTGTCCTTGAGTCAACGGTTTGGGGGGTAGTGAGGTTCCCACCAATACATTGAGAGCTGAGTTCGTCGCTCTAGGTGCGTGAGTCGACCCCGAAGCACCTGTTGGGTTCCCCCGCTTTGTGCAGCACTTTTTATTCTATTGCTAAGGTTATTTGCGACAAGGGACCCAGCCAGGAAATTCTCCAACCAGGAAAAGGACACACTTTATTCAATTCTCCAACCAGGAAAAGGACGCAACCAGGGACCTTCATCATGAGTGAGCTGGTTTCACCTGCGCTAAGTTGTGCAATCCAAGTTGAAACACTCTCAGTTTGGTGCAACTTCCACGGAAGATACGGGATGCCCAGAGAAAACAAACAAATGGCAGTCCGGCAACCACATTAGTATGAGGCCTGGGTTGCCAATTACAAGCCTGTACCATTCAGGGGAAGAGAACGTATGTACTATGATTCTTCATACCAGCGCAACTCGAGAGAAGAATTAGAAGCAGAACACCAACGGATAAGCGGGATAAAGTAAACAGCTAGTCGAACAGAAAACACACTTGTTGTTCAGAAATGAAAAACATAACTGATGCAATATGAATGACTAAACCCGCAAACCTCGGTTGCTTTCTGCTCCCCTGCTAAAAGTGAATAACTTTTTAGTGGCTTAATGGACACCCCACTAGCTGGCAAAAAGTTGAAGTCCTAACATCCCTGGGCAAAATGCACCAAACAAGGTAAGACATGGTGAGGCGAGGTGTGTGGACCTCTCCAGCAATGAGGCACGATCCCCTTTGTCAAGCTAGTGCCCCAGAAGCGGCTGGGAAAACCGAGGGGACCGAAACCCGAACGATTTGGGGGCCGTTGTGCCATTTTTTGTTTCAAAGGGAAACTTGGAATGGGAAACCTGAAGCAAAGAGACCCAACAGCATTGGTTCAGGGACAAAGGGAAAAAAACACAATTTTCAGGCGCCGACACGTTTTGGAGGACTTTGGGACGAGAAAGGAAAGCCGAAGTCTAAATTTCTCGGAAAGGTGCTGGAAAATATGTCTTTGCGGGTTGTTGTCCAAGGGACAACCTGAAATTCCCATGAGGCACGGTGGCCCACTGAATGGACGTGGAGAAATTGTCCGCCCCTCAGGTTTTTGGGGCCCGAATGAATGAGAAAAAATAGCCAGATTTGGGGGTGACATTTACGCCCATCACACCAGCCTCATTTTTTCACCATCATCAAAGTCACCCCCTAAGTGGTAGGTTATATTAAAGGGAACCACCCACATTCTCTGACTTTGATAACCCCAGAAGCCGTCAAAATGATGACCCCCCACCCCCTTCCCCAAAAAAAAATAGGGCGTCCAAAGGGTCCGGGGCCCCAGGACCCCAGTCGCTTTTGGCGTTTTCTTCTGAAGCCTATCGGAGTATCGTGTAGGTTACCGGGAAACGACCACTCTGACTGTGATAGCCCCCAGAAGCCATATCAAAATCATGACCCCAGTCAAATTTGGCGCTTTGAAGCCTATCGGAACCACTCCGCCTTGCGAGGTGCGTCGCAGAGCACCGAGCAAATCCGCGGGCATGGAGACCACCCGCTGAACACCTCGGCCGAATCGACTCCGAATGAAGGCGCCTTCTGATGCCGCGCCCCGCGCAACGGCGTTTTTGACTTCGGGTTTTGGACATGGGACAAACGGAAGGGTCGAGGGTTTTTCCACCTAAAATCACATGGTTTGCAAAGCCATTGAGGCCTCGGTTGGCATTCCTTCCTCCTCAGGCTCATGGGGATCGTGGGGGTCTCTGCAGTGTTTGCCAAGGGACCCAAAGAATCAGTGACCCATTCCGTACAAAGCACACTAAAAAAAACACATCTTTTTGTGCCAAAGGTGTTTTTCTTAGTGGGGAGCCCACCAAACAGGAGATGCCAACCGTTAGATACATTCTTTTTGGGGCCTGACATCTTTTTCCTAAAACTATAGATGATGTTTGGAGTCTGTTCGCTCTGAGGAGCGACGCTAGCGTCCGGACAGCTGCCATCCGGAAGCTACTTGGTTTCAACGATTCTTTCAAGGCTGGAATCGCTAAATGAAAGGAAACCAAAGAATATGGTAAAGGGGGGATACTCAAACAAGGATTCGTTGCTGCAAAGGGGTTGGCTCAAGGGGTCGCTTAAGAAGCCGCTTCCGACCGCCAGAGCCAGGGCCCATTTCGTCCTTTCCCGAAATGACCCGCTGAATGGTGATTCCCTGGGACAAGGCTTCACAACCCTTGGCATGATGGCAAGAAACGGTGTTTTGTTGCAGCCCCCTACTAACAATGAACAGAACCAAGAAAAAAGGGAGACTTGACCAAGAACAGTGAAGCAGAGCCATTGCAATTGTGTGACCTCATTCCATGTCCAAACGCGCAACATGAGGCTGGCGGACATCCGGAAAAAGCCTTCCCAGCTGACAAGAGCCCAGGCCAACCGCGCAGGAACTCTCAGCTGAGGGGCTGGCGTTCACTTCGGGGTCATCCCAATTACCCTCCAACAAACAAAGCAGTGGGAGGGTACCTGGAAGAGGGGTTTTCCTCTTGAAAATGCACTGCGTCAGTTGCCATGTTCATGGGAGGGAGGGTAACTGGTTATGCTGATAACCAGAAATTCGGTTGCTTTCTGCTCCCCTGCTGAACATTTTACTTTTAGTGGTTTCATGGAAAACCCAAAAATGTAAAGTCCTAACACCCAAGCAAAATGCACCAAAGAGTTGTTGGCGGGAAGCTTCCGATGCCAGGTCGCCCTGATCATTCTGGATTCGGAGCTGCACGTGCATCATCTCCCCATCACCTCTTGCAGAACTGCGCCGAAAACCCTGTTGGTTTGAGTCACTTGAGCGGACCAGCCCAAAAGAGTTCGCACTTCTTGTTTGCCGTTATAACGGCCTTCCAGGGACTCTGGAAGAAAGTTGATCGCTCTTGGTGGGGGGTGAGCCCCAGAATCCCACAACAAAGGTTGAGGATAGACCGATCGAGCAACAAAACAATCGCTCCGCTCATATGTCTGCTTATTTCCGCTTGTCTCCGCTTATTTGCCCGGATGGAACTGGCCGCGAGAGCTCAAAAACACTGTTTCCGCTCATTTCGATTTCTCCCGCTCGAAATCCGAAACGAGCAAAATAAATGCTTCGAGCCCAAAGCGGCGACCAAAGGGAAGATCCAGGTATGATAAATAAATACGTCAACAAGTAAGCGTTTAAACAAATATCTAGAAAAATAAATATGTTCACGTCGTGAATCCAAGATCAAGAAGGCTGGGAGCAATCTTGGATCCATGAGTGATACTCCTAAATTCTAAATCCCGCCACTTAAATTTCTAATTGCCGGTAATATGACCCGGGATCCAAGATCCCAGATTCGTGTGGGACTTTTGGGAGCAATCTTGGATCGCATTGTTTTACCATTCCCAAAGTCACCCGCCTAAGTGCTAGGTGGTGGTTCGGATTGGTGGTTTACTGGCGAAGGAAGGCTTTTGCACCCCTCTACAAGAACCAGGGGTTCAAACCCCCACACCACCAATCCAAATCACCAATTAAATTAAGGGATCCCCAAGTACAGGACCTTTCTGACTCGATATACCCCTGAATCGGTAAGCTCGCCATACATTTTGCAGGCTCATCATCTACATCGTCCTCCTCGTCATCATTCTCATCATCATCATCATCAACATCATGATCATCATCATCCTCCTCCTCATCAACCACCAAGTATAGAAGGAAGCTGCTGCCACTTGCTGACAGTCCAACTCATGGACGCTCTCTCTCGGCAGAGCGGCTCTCGTCGTCACCCGTGGCGATTTGACTCTCCTGAAGATCCGAACAGGGCCTCGTTGCAGCTAAACAAGGCTGGGGCCAGGAAAGTGACAGCGGATTGCCCTAAAAACACGTCCCAAGTTCTCACCCTACAACAAGTTAGTATGGTAGCACAGCTGATTGTTTTTAGCAGCCCCGTAAGAAGGAACACAACCAACACAACTTTAAACCAAGAAAACACACGCCAAGAATAGTGAAGGTTGCCAACAGAGTCTTCTCAAAAAGATTGAAGTCGAAATACTGGCGAAGTGAGGTACGGCGGGTTTCCCACCAAAACGAAACTCCCAAGCCCCAGGCTAAATTGGACCAAGTCTCGGCTGGGGGTGGGGGGGTGCTTGATTTTTAATGCTTCAATTTCTCAACCTTGATGCGCGGGCGCATCTGACAAAGGTTGACTCCTTCCTAGATTTCAAAAGTTCTCATCACTGTTTTATTAAACTGGGCCAGGCGTAACCCTGCAGACAAATAGTGCACCCCCACTGGTGAGCATAAATGGACATGAAGGAATCCCAACAGACAACAGGGCAAAAAGGCAACCTAAGTCAGGCAAAGACGGCAACAAATATTTCAGATCCGCAGCCTCAGCGATTCCATGAAAGCTCCTGCTTTGAGAAGAGGACTTTCCTTTTTGAAAATATCGGATCTTTATTATTGGCTCGCAAGGGGGGGTGGGCATCCTTGTGTTTCACATGGGCAATGCAATCCGGAACCCCAAAATCCGATCCTTTTTTCATGAAGAACACCTCCATTCTAGGGGTTGATTCCCCTTTTAAAACCGGATCTGTTTCAAAACTGGGTTTTTGATGGTTTCCTGGAAAGAATTGGAAAGAATGGTACCGGCTGATGGTTTTCTGGAAAGATTCGGATCCCTGGAAAGAATGGAAATGGCAGGTATACCCCTAGATCCATATATGATATTCTGTTGGCCTTGCAGGGCGGGATGCCATAATACAGAATATCAGGATGGAGGTGTGCTGTGCTTGAAAGCCAAAGTCACGATCATAGGGGCAAACCGTCAATCACTTAGCCTCCCATGTCAATCAACTGCAGAAAAGCTTCAGCTTTTCGGGAACTTTTGACGCTTTGCAGGGGGGCCTGAAAACGGGCGACGGGACAAATACCACCAATGGAAAAGCAGACCCGCCAAATTTGGCCCTCCAATTACCCAAGCCCCCGGTGGCCATGGGGAAAAGTGGCACCCTTGGTTTGATAGCCGATTCCAAAGGGAAACCCCATCCAGAGCAACAAAAGAAGCAGGTCCCGCGCTTGACCCCGCAAACTGCCTGTTGGTTTCCCAGACTTTAAACCAACTCCAAAACAACGGCATCCACTGGAACCGCGCATGGTTTTTGCTACCTCTCCTACTCCCACTTCCTGAGTGGACTAGCCAGAGACAGTCTGCAAACTGTTCATTTACAACTAACCCCAAAAAAGTCTCGACCGGGCGCAACGAGAAAACAACAACAAAAGAACACTAAAAAATGAAAGAAAAAAGAAACGACGCCGGCCCGGAGCTCGGAGGCTCGCTCCTCCGGCGCCAGGTCGCCGTCCCTCAGTCGGGTCTCATCCCGCAAGCGCAGCACCACGAGGCGCTGAAGGATCCGCGGGCCCCGCAGCGTCTGCTGCGCCCCGCCCACCACCACCCCCGCCTTCGAAGCGCGACATCGCGCAAGCGCGACATGGCAGGGCCCCCGGGAGCGGAACCGAGCCGCGCGGCGGTTTTTTTTTTTTCTCCGGGGCCCCTGAAGAACATGGGAAAGGCTTCCGAGGAAAAGGGGGATGCTGCGTGCCTGTGGGGGGAGTTGAGCTTTTGAGGTGCCTGTGGAACTTTTGAGTGAGATTCTCCAAAAGCCTGGCTTTGTCTTCAAGCAAGGCACTCTTTGGACCCGGTTCCCCTTCGTCTACCGACTTTCCTATTACCGCCTTGGCTTGACAAGGTTGCATCTCAAAATGCATGAGACCAGGCCAGAATAGGGGTGCTTCTTCAAAAAGGGCGCAAGGCCAGGGTGGCGCAGGAAAACAGACTTGGATTCTCCTCCTGACATTTAAAGGCGACCAGTTTGACTCCCTCGCCTCAGGCACCAGGCTTGGCTACTCCGAAGCTACAGCCATGACTACAGCCGCCATGAAGGCACCCTAAGCTGAACGAGAAGAAAGGGGTGTGGGGAAAAGAGAAGCTACTGTAGGTCCTCCAGTAGAGAGTAAGTACCCTATTTTCTGTAGTCAATTTTATTTTAGTAGGGGAACCCTCCCCCAAAAAAGAAACGGTAAAAGGGCACCTAGCTGGGGGACCTAGGAAGCTATTCCGCATGTTCCTTTAAGTCGATGAGAGTTATTTCGCCCCCACCATGTAGCACTGAGCAAGTATAGCTCTCGAGAGATGGATGCCTGTGGCGCGCCCGTCTCAAAGGCGGACTGGGCCAACTGGGGCGGCTCGTTGGAGAAGTTGATTCCTGGGTTGCTCAGAACACCTCCATTTGCTTAAGTCCCCTGGAAAAATCAAATAATTCCAGTAGTGACAGATTCCATTTAATACCAACAAAAAAAACTCATATTCTTAACCAAATGGAAGAACAATTGGCCCCCTCCAAAAAGTGTGCAATTGTTGGGGTGCAAAGCCTAATAATTATTCCAGAAAGGTCGGGCCAAGTCACCTCCCTGGAAGAAGTGGAACATTATGAAATTCAGCGAAGCGTGCTGTCATTTTCCGATGGATTCTCCCTTGCAGCCAAGGTTCGGCTCCACTGCAGCGTGTGGAGGTTGAGCCGGGCCACGTATCCGTCGCGGGAGGACAGCATGTTGCCGTGTCCTTTCATCTGACCCTTGGGAAGAGTAAGGGGCCAACGCTCAACTAAGACCTGGTGTAAATCCATCTCTTGCAACATGTTCAGATATGCATCTATAAGCAAAGTTCTAGCAGATCGCGCACCAACAAATGCGCATGAAAGCTTTCGTGGAGACGGGAGTGTCACGCTTCTGTTTGATTCTCCAACGCAGGCTTGGGAATAGGGCTGATCCTATATTAATTGGTGGCACTGGCGTCCGCCAACCCAAATGGAACCCACCTCTTCATACAAACCGCGCAAAGGTGCTCGCCAACCGGCTCGCATCTCGCCGCTTCAGGTCCGTCCGCTGTCGACGTGTTTTTTCTTTGGCTGTGGATGCCCCTAAAGCCGAGGAGTTCGCAGAAACCCGGAACCACTAAGGAGAAGTACCCTTGTTTTGTCAAACCAGGCCGGGCGATGTGCGAAAAATCACTCAGAAGGGCAACCACCCATGTCCCCATTAAGGGGGCCAACTCCGAGAGCAACCATCCCATTGCGAGAGCGATATCTCCATGAGGAATGCTTGGTTTCCGCTGGTTTCCCCAGAAACTTGAAGCAATCTCCAAAATGTATCATGAGAACTTGTCAGGTCGTTTGCGGACATGGTGATGGAGAACAAGCCTCTCATTGACTTGCAATAAAACAACTTTTGTTGTTTCCCCAAAAAGCGAAAGTCCAAAGATCCAACCCATTTCAGGTTTTGGAACTCTCCCATACTTCCAAGGACATTCTATGTCGTTCGGTCCTCCTGTTTATGGGGGGGAGCTAACGGAGCGGATTGACCCAAAAAAGTCCCAACTGTTTCTTGCCCACTCAAATGCTCCAAGCCCTAAAAGTTGAAGTCGAGATGATTTTATGCAAATGGGGGTTGATCCAAAGGTCCGTGATACATGGGATGAACATGGAAAACCACCAAAAGGATGACATGTCCCACTAAAAGGGAAAAACCTTAACCCTGGTTCCTGACATCCGCCCCGTCCCTTTCGTTCCTCCGTGGATCAGCAGGTGCCGCCCGAAGCGCGCGGCGCCGAAGCGCAGGCGCGGCGCCGGCAGGTGCTCTCGCGGACCCGCCTTCCATTCATCTAGTCCAACAAAGGGAAAATGGAACTAGGTCCTCCAGTAGAGAGGCTCGAGTATGGGTACGTTTTTCTTTTTTCTCTGTAGTCCATTTCAGTGGGGGAACCCTCCCCCAAACAAGGGTGAGAAAGGGCACTACTGGGGGACCTAGACAAGGGAAGCTGGAACCATGCAGCCCCCAAGCTCCAGTTGCTTCGGCCCACGGACAACCATAAAACTTGTGTCCAGCGGTGATAAATGCCCTCAGCTTCGCTCCGATTGGTGGTTTGGATTGGCGGTTTGGCGTTGAGAAGGGGTTTCCCATTTGCCATTTACAAGAACCAGGGGTTCGAATCCCAAACCACCAATCCACATCACCAATTAAGGGTGTCCTGATGCCCTTGGAAGTAAAACCAACAGCGGAAAATATGTTTAAACCAAAAACAACTCAAGTTGTGGGGTGCCGGACTGAACTGGGAGCAAACATCGCATCAGGTATCTTCTTCTGCCTGGGAAAACAGTGACGATGTGAGCATACCAATTAGCACTGAGACTTTCCAGGAAGAAGAGAGAAATAAAAGGTTAACCACCCTTTTTGGGGCCTGTCCTAAAAATTGACCACAAAGGGAAACCAAAGCTCAAAAAAAAGGGCGGTTGTGGACATTAGTACCACCTCCCCTGACCAAAGTTGGTCAAGGGGGCCAGCGGTCGAAACATGGTGGCGATGTGCTGACGGTTTGACACAAAGCCTTCCCGTCAAAAATCACAGGTCGAATCAAACTAGCCTGCAACCAAGTAACATGGGCTGCAGGTCCCCAGAAGTGTTTAATTAGTATAAGAAAGGGGCCTTCTGGCAGGTTGAATACTTGTCGGTGCAAGGGTATACGGTAGTTTGTATCAAACTATCACATCCATCTGCTCAAGTCCCCTTTGAAAAGGGCATATTTCCAGGGAGTCGTGCTACTAAGGAAAACAAAGGCAGCAGTAACTTTTGTGCGCGAGGAACTGCTTGAAAGAAAGCGAGGGGCGGACCCTGCCTGCCAGCAAAAGGTCGTGAGGTCCAGCTGGTAGCCCCGCATATCCGCCAGGTTGCCCCCTCACATGGAAAACACGGATTTCAAGATGACAAGAACCATGTTCTCACTTCTGAACGAGTGCATGGGCCCCACCAAGTATGCAAACTGTTTCTTTACCACTAAACAATGGTCTTCCCAAACATACCTCAAAGCTAAATGGATGTTTTGGAAACGCAGAGGCGTCCTGAAGATCATAGAAGCCCATCTTCCAAGTGCGACATATCGGCCTTCCCTTCGGCATGCAATACTTTCCTTGTGGAAGGTTGCTCGCCGCTCAACAGATCGAGATTTCCAGGGGAGTTACCAAAGCCCGGGGCCTTTGGGGTCAGAGAAGCCATTTGCCTAATGCTTCCAGGGGAAAATAACAAATAGTTCCAGCAGTGATGGATTCCCTTTGACACAATCAAGAGTGGAAAATAGCAAAATATGTCCTAGGTCCTCCAGTAAAGAGGTTAGAATAAGGGTACTTTTTTTCTGCAGTCTATTTCAGCAGGGGAACCCTCCCAACGAATAAAGGGGTGAGAAAGGGCACTACTGGGGGACCTACTGTGGATGGACGAAATCCTGCACCGAAGACACCCTGGTTTCTGATTTGATTCCCTTGTAAATACCAACCAGATAATGGCCTGCGTGGTTTCAATACTTGTTGCAGAAATGGATTTCGCCCATCCACAGCAGGGAAGGACAAGTCTATGGGAAGCAACCCTTGCGCATCGAAGCCGTCGGCGCCGTCTCCGGAACCAGCGATCCTGCCAATGGCTCGCAGTGCTCATCGGTGCCCCCGAAAGTGATGAAGTAGTCCTTGCCATCCAAGAGCCTCAACGACACACGGGTTTGTCCAAGCCACCCCAAGGCGGCACCAAAGCAAAAGCGCGAAAAACAAACAAAATCTCTATATGAATAATTACAAGTTTATATGTTTGTATGCTACATGTTGGACAAACGACGAGGGTAGAGACTTGCGATTTCGGAGACACGCACACAAAGACACGCCCACACACAACATGCCGCCGGATCCTTGAGGGATCTGCCCGTGGTTGTGGAAAACCGTGCTTTCCGAGATGCCGAAATGGCTGATTTCCATGACTACCTCATCACTGTTGTTCCCCCTTGGCAACTGAGAGATGCTGGCAACTAGCACAAAGGACCAAGGATCCGCAGAACAAAGGCAAACAGATAAACATCTGACCCAATGCCCCGAAGGCAAACAGCGGCAAGCTTTGAAGTCAAATGCCTGTTGAGGACCCCAGCAAAAAATGATATTTATTGCCTGGTTAGTGGAACACGAAGGGACCCAAACAAAGCAAAAAAGCAAAAAGGGGAGCTAATTCTGGGGAAGTATATATGGGTGTGTTTAAAGGGAAACCAAAAAGAAAACTGGCGTGTCCCGAAGAGAAACACAGCGCAAAAACGTGGTCAAAGGAAAGCTCTGGCATGAAGCCATCAGAATTCGCGGGACACGCTCACTGCCGTCCCTGGATCAAGCTTTTCCAAACCCCCAAACAATTTGTGCCCCCTCCCTATTGGACCTGTTGTGTCCACAAAGGGAAAAGAGTCATCCACCAACAAACATGGAAGTGCAGAGGCTCCATTTCCAAGAGGAACATCGTGATCCACAAAGGGGACCTTATCGCTCATCCTCCCCCAATTCCATTTGGGTGGGCATTCGGCGGTAGCGGCTTTGAGATGCATCTTTTGCGGCGCTCGTCTGGCGTCTGTTTGCGGCGCGCCACTTGTGTTTTCACACGGACGTACTATTGGGTTGATTTGCTCCTCTGGAATTCAATAACCCAAGGCCATCTGAAGGAAGCACCAATCCGGCCACCTGGAACCCAAAATGTCCCAACACGGAGAACTTTGCAAAACACCATTGGGCCATGGACTCTTAGTGGTAGATTGAGGGTCCAGGCGCATCAACGCAGCTTCAATTCATGAACGCATCCTTCAGGCTGATTGAATCCAATGGCCGCCCGCGTGGACGACGCAGGGCCGAAATGAATATCGCGCTCCATCAACTCTGCAACTCACTTCTTGTGATTCCCCCCCCCCAGTCCGCAAGTCCAGATTTTTGTGTACTGAAACGGGTCCAGAAACTCCGGGAGTGAGATGTGTCCAGAAACTCCGGGAGTGAGATGTGTCCAAAACTTGAATGAAGGGAACCCAAAGATGAGCTCGATTTACCCCGTTGCTAACAATTGCGTTCGCAGAATCCTGACTGGGGCTCCACTTGGGTGTGAAGGGCGTGGCTTCTGTGTCAAGGCACCTCTGCTTTTCAATGAGAATTAGTCAATGCAAGCTTCGAAAACAAATCTCCCCCCGCCAGTATCTACAGATACCACCGTTGCTTTGGGAAAGTGGCTTGTCAAAGCCTGAGTGCAAAGGATGGGTCGCGGATGTGAGCGACTGAAGCCATCGCAATCGGTCGCTTCACAAAACCATTAACATCGGGCGGGCCACACCTAGTTAGCCCAGGATCCAACCCCCCCATCCAACAGAAAGTTTCCTTGAAGGAGGCCTTTATACTGGCTTCTGAGAGATATAGTATGAGTCAACAAGGGGACTGGGTCCTATGGCGAAAACTCGCCTGGTTTCCGTGGGTCAGCTCTTGCAAGCAGGCAGTGCAAGCCTGTTGCTCGCCCCGTCTCTCTTGCCCGGACACGAGAACGTAGGGTCTGGTTTCCCGCTCCGGAAGTTGCAGCTTGCGAGATCCCAACGAAACCGCTTTCCACCCCAAGGTTACCCTTGATAAAGAGAGGACCTGTTAAAAAAAATGGTGAATGCCCCCATTATTTTGGGTAATGACCCCATGTTTTAAGGGTCATGGAGACTCCAGGTACTCCTTTCTCGCAACCTTCTCAGCCAACACAACCCCCCTTTCGTTATCTTTCGCTGACCTCAGACTTCCAGGCAACGATCTGCGCTCGATAGGGGTGAAAAACCGGGCTGCGATGTCTAAGAAGCATGTCGAGACAGGGTTCCACTTTTTGACTACCCCAGGTCAGGATGCTTCAGGTTCCAAAAAGATAGCGCCCTCATTAGAACGGAATTCCTGCATGGCGGCTAATGGCTTATTTGCAGCAGAACCCAAGTATGAATACCAACAATATCGTCAGAAGGAAACGATAAGGGATCATCGAACATTGCACATCGATATGTTTTAAAGGGAAAGCACAAGGAGACCATTCATGTTCAAGTCCCCTCTATTTGATACACCCACATGCTCCTGAGTTCGGTAAGCAAGACATACAGCGATGGCAGTTACATGACTCTTCTCCATTGTGGGCCCTGGCGCATGTGGACCTATTGTGAGCGCGACATGGCAATGGCAGCCAGGTTCAAACACACAGTGACTCCATTCCCGGCCGGAGTGTTGGTGCGTCGGACCCCCTAGAAACTAAGTGGTGCCCTTTTTGGTTTCCCTTAAAATCCCCCCAAACGGGTACCCGGAGAAAAGCAACAATAGGGAGATCCATTTGCGATGCTTGTTTTTTGTTGGGTTTGGTCTGTGATCAACCTGAATTACGGCACGCAGAAAGGAACCTTTGCTATGTCCCCTGAGGTCGTGGGAATGGCTAGTGATTGAAGAACAAGCCTTTTAATCTCCAGCAGGCTTGTGGGGAAACACCCGACGGCCCAAGGGATCTAAGGGGGGAAGGGGGGAAGGGGGGGAAGGGGGAGAGAAGGTCGGGGGCGGGGGGGAGGAGGGGTGGGGCCCTAAGATGTCGCCCTCAGATTCCTTCAGTGTTTGAGTTCGACGTCGAGCGGTTTCGCACCCCCGTAATTCCACATTGGGTACAAAAACGGTATACATGGGTCGGAAGCCAGAATTGAAGCTTTCCGGCAAAACGGCGCACAAGCGAAAACAGAGCCCGCCCCCACCGCCCAGGAGGTTCAAAAGAACTTTCTTAGAAGGGTTGTGATTGAAGGGTTCGGATTGACCTCTCTGGCAGGTAGGGAGGCCCGATTTTGTCTCTCCTAACTCGCTGCGCAAGGTCTGTTGCCTGTGAAGTGTGGCAGCTGGGCCAAAGTCTTGCGCTCCAGCAGTTGTCTTTGCCGCCGCTCCAATGCCATATTCCGGCACTTGACCGGCAGCCAACATCCAATGCCATATTCGGACATTTGACAGGAAGTCAACATCCAGTGTCACATTCCAACACTTGACAGGCAGACAACATCCAATGCCATATTCCAAAATATTCCCACACTTGACAGGCAGCCAACATCCAATGCCATATTCGGACATTTAACAGGAAGCCAACATCCAGTGCCACATTCCAACACTTGACAGGCAGATAGCATCCAATGCCATATTCCAAAATATTCCCACACTTGACAGGCAGCCAACATCCAATGCCATATTCCGGCACTTGACAGGCAGCCAACATCCAATGCCATATTCGGACATTTGACAGGAAGCCAACATCCAGTGCCACATTCCAACACTTGACAGGCAGACAACATCCAATGCAATATTCCAAAAATATTCCCACACTTGACAGGCAGCCAACATACCAATGCCATATTGGGACATTTAACAGGAAGCCAACATCCAGTGCCACATTCCAACACTTGACAGGCAGATAGCATCCAATGCCATATTCCAAAATATTCCCACACTTGACAGGCAGCCAACATCCAATGCCATATTCGGACATTTAACAGGGGAAGCCAACATCCAGTGCCACATTCCGACACTTGACAGGCAGCCAGCATCCAATGCCATATTCCCACACTTGACAGGCAGCCAACATCCAATGGCATATTGACAGGAAGCCAACATCCAGATGCCCAATTCCGACACTTGACAGGCAGCCAACATCCAAATGCCCAATTCCGACACTTGACAGGCAGCCAACATCCAATGTCATACTCGCACACTTGACAGGCAGCCAACATCCAGATGCCCAATTCCGACACTTGACAGGCAGCCAACATCCAGATGCCCAATTCCGACACTTGACAGGCAGCCAACATCCAGATGCCCAATTCCGACACTTGACAGGCAGCCAGCATCCAAATGCCCAATTCCGACACTTGACAGGCAGCCAGCATCCAATGCCATATTCACACTTGACAGGCAGCCAGCATCCAAATGCCATATTCCCACACTCGACAGGCAGCCAAAATCCAGATTCCAACACTTGACAGGTAGCATGGAACTTGCTGGCTGGGCATGTTCTTCCTGGAGCTTCCACCTCAAACCTCCGGACCCACGTCGGGTTCCGCCGCCGCTTGCGCTTCCAAGAGCGGCTCCGACTTCCCGGGCCGCCCCGGCCCCGGCGATCCGGGCGATCCGGGAAGGGGCGCGAGGTGCCCCACGCAGAATCCGAGGATCACCAGGAAGTTGCCCCAGAGCTGCACCTGAGACAGCTGGATGGGGCAGAAAAAACAAGTCCAGGAGCACTTTATTTTGTGAAGCCACTATGGTCCAAACCCAAAAAGGAGTATAAAAAGCCCCAACTCGAAAAATCCGAGGTTTCGGGAAGTGAGCCCAAGACCTGGAAACGCCTGGATTTTGCAAAGGTCGGCAAAAGTTGCCAAAAGTTGGAAAAAGAGAAAGAGTCGGGGTTGAAAAACTGAGCCTGAGAAAGCCTAACCTCCCACCCCCCCAAGGCGCGCGACCTAAAGTTTTGCGGGAAAGGCACCCCTTGCGACTCCGTATGATACCGGGTGAGATTCGGTCTCTGAATCACCCGGTATCATATCAAGGCAGCTCCCCAGCCAAGCGGCAACCCGCCAAGGTTTTGCCAGGCTTGAGAAAGGTCCAATTTTCTAAGCTCCCTTTGGGTTTCCATGGGAAACAAGGGCCCCCTTTTG